CATTCGAATACGTGATTGTTTCTATCGATGTTATGATCTGAAAAGCATAGGATAAAAAATCGTGTTTAGACTTTAGGGCATTTGTCATAGTCACCGAAATGTGTCCTTTTTGGAAAACCACCGAAATGTGTCCTTTGGTGTTTCTTTAACATGTTGGATCACGACCCATAGATTATAAATTAATTCAACCATAGACTAAGACCACCAATTACAAAATTCACAAATACTAATCTTTTGTTACAAACGACAAGATATTTACAAACATATTTTTGTGACGAATTTTTAATCCACTCACAATAAATCATAATAGGTTATAATTTATGATCCAACTGAATTAACATACATACGTACATATATATATATATATGTGGTTTTCACATTTGTGCAAATCGACTGAGAAATATTATAATGACCGAAAATCATTAGACCAACCAAGGGTTCGTTTTGAATCATTTTTAAAATGACAAAGTGTTTTTGGAATCAATACTTAGTAAAAATGTAAGTGAATCCTAAAAAAGTACTTGAAGTGTTTCCTACAAAAAACACATAACTAGTGATTCTTGCAGGAATCACATAACTGGTGATTCTTGCAGGAAGCACATCAAGTGTTTTTTTAACATAAAATATTTTCTCTAAAAGTATTTTTAGTTATTTTAAAAGCACATCCGAACGATCTGCTAATTATCATGACATTACGAAAAATGCTTGTGGAGAAAATGTGACTTTTCCCAAAATTCCAATTGCATTAAAATTTGATTGCAAGTAGATGAATTGATGCGAGATTTATACACACACAAATTAAACCCTCTTTTTGACAATTGTAGTATGGATGTAAGTAGGGATCGTTCTGGACCGGGGATTAGGAGGGATTGCTAAAACCTTGGAAACTGACTCAAAAACGTAAAAACAAGATAAAACACTAAACTAGACTCAAAGAATGCAAAACTAAAATTTAAAACATTAAGACAAACCAAAAGACTCAAAACTAATTTTTGGACGAATTTAAGATTATGGCTTGATTCAAAATACTTTAAAACACAAACTAAACAGATTCTAAGCACTAAAGAACAAGAAAGTAAAGGGGGGGGAAAAGTTTTGATTTGAAGAAAATTGAAATAACAAACAAGTTAATAAACTGAGCAGAATGTAAATATGAAATTGTGATGGAATGAATGGAATGAAGGCTAGCTAAGGGGTTCTTCTCCACACATGTTATATTTGCATACAAGATTGATTCTCAGTTGGTCTTTCAATAAATTATGAAACTCAACACTCCGGATTAATTAGGTCCGCTTAAATTAACCGTCAAGTTTTCCTTAAGTTAATGAATTGGATGGGTTTGCGCAACGCAATTCACAACATTCTCCAAAAGTCCTTTACGTGAATAGCACAATAAAGATACAATCAAAGATCATTAAGCATTATGAAAACTTTAAGTGTTGACGAGGCATTCGTTACTATGATGAGCATGAAACTCGTGTCAAGAATTCATTTAACGCGATTGTTTATAAGCAACCTCCACTACTTGTGAATATAAGTTCATAACGATTAGGTGAAATTCACTTATATTCTAGCGTCATATTTATGCATGAAAATTAAGCGCGCATTCTTAATAAACATTCATAAATAAGCTATCAATCAAACGGTTAAACAAATTGAATTCACAACTTATGAAATTCCAACGAAAGTTAATCAATTCATATTGCAAATATAAACATAGTTTCGAATCACCCCCTACCTAAAGGGGGTTTAGTTCCTCATAACTTTGAAATCAAAGAAACACCTAAACATTCCAACAACTCAAACTTGAATTGTATGAACGTTTAAGCACTCTTCTCTTCCATACACACAAAACAAAGAGAATTAAAATGAAACTTTGAAATCAAAGAAACACCTAAACATTCCAACAACTCAAACTTGAATTGTATGAACGTTTAGGCACTCTTCTCTTCCTCGTTGTTGTAGCACAAGGTTTAAGGATAGGTTGTGTGATGGTATGAAGTGTTTTGGAGGGATGGGAAGTGGTTGGATAGTGGCTGCAATGGAGGAGAAAAACTGCACAGAAAATGGGAGGATATGCACGGCAAAGGGCTTGGGAAATGGTGTGTTTGTGGTGTGTTTGTGTATGAAAAAAATGAGGACCCTTGAATGATGAGAATGCAAGGTATTTATAGGAGTAGTGGAGGGAACATATGGCTGCAATGCATGTGATAAAAGACTAGGAAAATGGGTGGAAAGCTGGAATTTCACAAAGGGGGCCAAAGGGAACCCACGGCAAAGGATGGTGCATGTGTTTGGGAAGCTTTCTTGCTCATTTTCTGGATGCAATGATGAAAAGTTTAATAAATAATGCATGTATGTAGCTGAAATGATGAAGAATGAGTGGTGGAAATGCAAGGTGAATGAATAATGAATGCATGTGTTGATGAAATTACATTTGGAAAGCTGAAATGTGGAGGGGATGCACGGCATGGATGTTTTGGTGTGTGAATGGCTGATTTGTTTGTTGGTTAAAGATGCATGTGGATGAATTATATAATGGGAAAGTATGTGATTGACAACTAGGATGGATGGTGGCTGCAATGATGAAGTGTGATGGTTGAAAATGGCAAGGGAAATGCATGTGTTTGGACGGCAAGGATGATGTTTTGTGCATGTGGCTGCAATGGTGTGTAATGATGGAGGAATAAGTGCATGTGGTTGAATTGGTGGTGAATGTGCATGACAAAGAATGGATTTGGCTGCAATGGTGTGTAATTGGGCTAGGGTTTAAGTGCATGAAATGGACCCAAATTGCTCCCCCTTGCATGGCAAGGAATGGTGTTTGTGTTAAGCCCATGGCAATGTGATTGTAATTGGGTTAGGGCCATTGTTTTGTGTCCTCAAGTGCATACAAGGCCTTCAATTTCATCTAACACTTGGGCTCCAAGAATAAGCTATCCATCCTTAGCCCAATAGTGCTCCAAAAAGGCCCCAAAACACTCCACAATGCATCCTTTCGTCAAACACGTTTTATAATCCTGAAAACACACAAAAGAAGCATAAAGAACTAAAATAACTAAAGAAACATAACGTAAATGTACGAGAACAAGCTAAGTGAGTCGCCTAAATATGCTCCTATCATGAATCCATGGTTGTACAAAAGTCAAAAAATAATTTAGCCAACCTTAATTAACAATTGAATACAAATGGTGGTCCAAAAGGCACTAAGCTTGAGTTTTGGGATGACCTGTTTGACCTTGTAAACAAACGAAAGGGCTCAGATTCTTTTCCATCTAATTTATTTAGTCTGGATCTGGACCGTTGAAATTTGATTCAATAGCTATATTTATTATCACTTTAAAAGATCCCTTATTTGTAACCATTGAATCAAATTTTAACGATCCGGATTCTGAACTAAGTGGATTAAATGGAAATGAATCCGAGATCCCTTTCCATAAACAAAAGCAAACCACAAAGTTTGGATTATATAGCTATAATTATTCCACCAAGAAACTCACATGACCACGAACTTTCTTTTGTCACATACGCTAATTTGAGAATTGGACAATCTAAGGCTAGTCCAAATATTTGACAATCAAACCACATTGAAATTGCCACCTCTTCCGAAAGATGATGTTAATTTATTATTTTTCCATCTTTTTCATCACGTCGGCTCTGAAAGCATACAGCTTTACTAGATGTGAAAAAGAAAAAGAAAAAAAAGTAAATAACTTATAAAAATTTGTTCGAAATTATCACACGATCAGTCATGTGATGAAACATTAGAAAGAGTATACAATATGTTGTTTTGCTCTATACTCAACTTCCAAAACACTAAGATTGAGAAATGTAGAGGTTATAAGTCAAAGTATGCAAAATGCGCAGTGTTAGAATGAGAAGAGAAAAGGGCTCGAGTAAGTGTTTAAGTACCAGAGACCAGGATAATGAAATTTTCTTTTCTATCTAGCCACCCATGCATCTTGATGGATGCTGTGATAGTTTTCACTTTCACAACAAATTTTGCTAAGTTGGGCTTCCTTTACAGTTCTTTTACATTCCAGACTACCTAGTTGTCCGGCTTTATATTTATTACATTGACAAGTACGTAAAAATAATATTTTCTCAATTCAACTCTAACCGTTTATTCTCCGTACTATTGAATATTCTGAACTGTTTAAGATAAATTGTTATTTCATTTGAGGTATTATTTACTTTTCCATTTTTGCAAAAAAAAGATGCTTTATCCAAAACGAAAAAAAGCAGCCCCTAAATAATATAATTGATGACCAAATAACGACCTTCCGTAACCCAAACGTAAATACCATAAACAAAAGCAAATCTTAAAATCAGAATAATTGCTTTGCAATGGTGTGTCTTTACTAGCAAGTTACCGGTGCACATAGAAAGCTAAAATCAGAATAATAAATAGCTAAAAGCTAGCATTACCTGCTAAACCTTTCAATGATGTGACCTTAAGCAGCCTCTGTTTGTTTCCCTTTCCTTGATTGTTTCCCTTCCTTGATTGTTTCCCTTTAACTTATCCAAACAAACGACTAAAAATATGTTAGTTATACGATTTAGTGATGGTCCTCTTCACTTGTAAGTTGTAAGTGAGAGATCTTAGGCTCAAATCTCGTCAAAGACGAATTTGAACCACATTATTACTAGCCCATTATGATACTTAACCCATTCCTTCACCCTTTAATGTAGATAATATCATTTATTATGAAAAAAATAAAAAAAGTGCAAAAGAAGAAAGGGCATTGCCAAAATCACATTGGGTGAAGACTTGAGCCCAACATTTTTTGGTGGTCGAATGGGGAAAAGCCTCACAATTAAGCCCAACAACAGGTTGGTACACTCAAGCCCTCAAGATTTTAATATTGGATTTCACTGTGGTTCAATTTATACTTCGCTGGAAGAGACGGTTCGATATTAGATGATTCATGTAATTTAAATGGTTAAGAACGTTTTTTTCTGTATTCAATTCTCTCTCTCTCTCATGTTGCTCGTATAAGGAAAAAAAAAAAGTTACATAAGACATTTATTTATAAGAGATTGAATATTTTACAATTCTATATTATTTTACATATCAGTCACTCAAAAATTCATCTGCAAAAAGCCGCATGGGTCTATTAAAATATTGGCTGGAGCAAACTAATTAAATAGTCAAATTAATTAATCGCTTCTCTTAACCAATTTGAGGCGTTGCACTGACCGGATGAAGCTCCTGCAGAATCAAAATTAAAACTTGATTAGTCATAGGCTAATTGAACAGAAGTTACAAAACCCTATATGTTAACTAATCTCATCAGTGTATAATAATTAAATAAATATTGTTTAATTAGTTGATTAATCATAATTATACCTCCAAGGAACATCTTGAGCTAATAGCCAGTCGCCCTCTCTGTCTTGGTAAGTGAGTTTGTAGTTGTTCGAATCCATCTGACCTGTTTCACACAGAATCCCACACGTGTCAGCTTTTAAAACTTCAAACCAATGACAGGGGAATCCGGATCATCTTGTGAGAATCCAGAGATCCATGATCATGTCTGTTCATCGTACATCATGCGGCTAATTTTCATCAAATACTATTTGTTTTCAATTTTAAATAATAAAATTTAAAATAATTTATGACTGCACGATATATAATAAAAAGGTACGATACACACAGATTTCTAAGATTCTCACATAGAGGATTAGGAGAGGATGCTTATTCAAAGGGAGACATGCAAATGGACACGTGGCACTCTCATGTACGTACATTTGTCAAACATGTCCATCAAGGTCTCTGTTAGTGTTTGGAAAGATTGGTGGAGGCTCAAGTCAATCTTTCTTGCTATTCCCACTCCCTCCATCTTCACCTTCACGAATGTAGAGTTGTAGTAGTATTGGTTTGAGTTTGACGATGACCCTGATCTACCACCACCACCACAGCCGTTGATATTCCCTGCCGTTCGATTACTACCACAGCGGTTGTTGTGGTGGTGGTGGAAGCAAATCTCCTTTCTCCATGACTTAATGGGCGGCCACCCCACCAATCCATCTCCATCGTTTCTATACGAAACCAAATAACATCGACCAAATTATTAATTTATGGTTATGAACTATTTTTGTTTTTTTAATATCAAAACCTAGGACTAAAGAGACAGATGAGCATCAAGACAGTTGGTTAAGACAATTCATCGAATTCTTACACATGTAAATTATTGTAATATTTGCAAACATCGAAACTTTGGATTAGAGAGAGAAAGTAGCATTGAAGAGAGAGAGAGAGATTAGTACTCGATAACAACGGTAAAGCGGGAGTTTGTGTGCTTGCGCTTATTAGGCTTGTTGTCGTCCTCCTCCTCGTCGCTGCCGTTCGGTTCACTGTTCCAAAGAAACAAAGGCAGCGTTCGAGGCACGGCTGTTGCACTAGTAGTAGAATCAATCTTGTCGTGCTCGCCATCATCATCAAAAGCTTGGGCAAAGCTACGTTTCTTGTACTTGTCGTTAATACTACTACAAACCCTCGCTTCGTCAACAAAGTTGTTCAAGTCGAAGCCCTTGATTGGCGGAGGAGCAGGAGGAGTGCTTGAAAGAGCAAGACCTAGTTGAAGCTCCATATCAGGTAATCCAATCCAACGAGAACAAACAAAAGATTACACAATAAATTATGAGCGAGGGTGAGAGAGAGAGAGAGAGAGTTTGGGGTTTAAGGGATCTGGGCTTCTTGCTTTAATATATGGAGGGAGTGACGGATTTAAGGAGGGAGGGGGGGACAAGAAGGCGGTGAAGAGAGGGGATGGGACAAGGAGTGCTGGGAACATTGGCTAAGATTGTCCGAATCCATGCTACCCTTTTAGCCGACCCACTTGCCTGTCATTGCTTTCTGAACCCCAACACCTATTCAATACACTTCCTCACGCGCATCAAGACCACGTCTTTTACACACGTCAACAAATACGGAGTTCAAACGAAAAACGATCAGTCGCACCCGTGAAGTTGGAAAACTTTTGGATAACGATGTTCTGGCCAGTGTTGCTGAAATTACTGTCGAGTAACTCTCTGTACGCCTTTCTGTGCCGGTCCCCATAAAGCAGATCGGAGATCTCTACTTCCCATTCAGGCAAAGATCAAATTTTATAATCATATGACTGTTTGTTAGTGGTTGAATTAATATTTAAATTATAATTAACGTGTTTATTTTTTATTGATGACACATTATAAAGTTTCTAAATTTGACCTAGCATTACTCTATAATTGAACGACTCGAACCTAATGCATTAGGTGGGTTCAGTGATAGGGTTTTAGTGTTCACGCACAAACAACTTTCTCACTTGCACTTTTAGGACTCTTTCTTTATCAAAAGAAAAAAATCCACCCTTTTTATTATATGATCAACTCCGTAAAAAATAAACAAAGTCCAAAATTGTTTTCCATCGACAGTTTTAAAAAATAGACACATCATGTTATTCAGTTAAACTAAAATATTGACAACAACAAACAATAAATTGATTATAATTTAATTGATTTTTTGCGTAATTAAACCTTTAAAAGATGAACTCCAAAGTTGGTGGTTATTTTATGATGAGAAGAGTAAAAAATAGTAGATCGAGAAAGTCCCAGAGAAGATCAGTAAAATATACCTTTCAAATGTTATAATCACAATGTATTATATTCTACCTTATGTTTATAAGATATTTGTGACTTTCGTGGAACAGATAACGTCAAGTATGATGATTGATGAATGAGTTGAAGCCTCAAGATCATGTTATGCAATTGGATTCGGACAGCTTCTTCCTGGAATTAATTGCATAAAGGAGACGTGTCTTTGGGTAAACTTTAACGTAATCACTCTATTTTTTGGTCAATATATTGTAATTTATAACGAGTGATGAGGAGTGTGCCATTTGCCATGCAAAACCAAACAATAAAATAATATAAATGTTGGTACATAAAATTGACAAAACACATGTTCCCGATGTGCTTTGTTTTGTTTATGTTTGGGGTAGGCATGTTAAATGGGTAGTGTTTGTCATATTCGTGTTGTTTTTATGTCATATATGTTATTTTAACATGTAATATCGTGTCAAACTTGTTATCTCAACGAGTTCTTAATACGACCAGATAACGATCCGACTCATTAAGAGGTCGTATCCTTTCATGTTGTATTAATGAGTCACGTTAGAAATTGTCATGCCTAATGTTTTTATCTGACAAACAATATATATCTAATTGAGTTCTTAACGGATGATCTAATAACAACCTAACTCTTTAATAAATTTTTAACAGATAATCCGATAACGACTCGACTCATGAATAAATTAAATCGAAATCTAAATTTTCGTGTCATTTGTGTTGGATTTCCAGGTCGCGCATGATTTTGCCTGGCCTAGTCGGGGGATTAATATATGTTAAGAGTAGAATAAAAATTAATATTATTCATGAATGGTCCTTTTTGTGGGCAAATATATGGCAAACAAAGTTCCAACAAACCAGCGTAGAAAAATTGCCTCGTGAAGTCGAGTCACAGTCTCACTCTCTGTCATGGCGGAAGAAACATTGAAGGAAGACCACATATGTGGCGGGGGGTTTCACGTGGCTACCGGCAAACCCACGTGACCCTGGACCGAACCACCCGCACGAAGCTATTGAGACATTACCACCTATGGTGGTGGTTGGCGGTGGTGCCACCCACATTCCAGTAAAAGCAACACTTCGTTGTCGGTTAATGCTTCACCTGCAGATTAATTAGTAGTCCCATGAATGCATGCATGCATGCACCCAAATTATGTACCTAACCACATGTTTTCTAGGGTACGGATGTCCTTATTTTATAAAAAGTGCGCTCATTGATCATAGCATTATAGCTTATAATGCAATTTAACGATTGTAACCGTATATATAGTTAAGGTCGTAAATATTTATAATTGTTTATAATTAATAAAACACTTATTGTTAATCAAAATCCTATAAAATTACCAGTTTAACTTTCTAATTAAAACATAACATGAATAAGAAATATGAGGTAAAAATGTAATTTCACACAACCAAATTTTGCTGTTTTTTTTTCAAAGTTTCATCTACATGTAATCATAACATATATCTAATTAAAAAAAAAAAAAAAACTTCCCACTCTCACATTCTCTATCACTCTCTTCCTCTCTCCTTCTATTTCAAAAACAAAAATAAAAAAATTTCTCACACATTTTACGCTAGTAATTGTTTAAGACTATCGTAATATTTCGGTATAAAGCTGAAACAAAAATGTAGGTAATCAAATGGTGAAACAAGTATATAGATTTAACCGTTTTTATCATAATGAATAATCTTGAAAAAAAAAATCTATAGAATTGAATTGTTAAACCACGGAAGAGGATCCTCTCCTAAGTTTAGGATGGGGATCCTCCTGACCAGTCCATCTGGACCGTTCAAATTTAATCCAACGATTGCAATTATTATAATTTTTAAAGGGTTCCCCTATTTGGAGCCGTTTGATTAGATTTGAACGGCTCAGATGGGCTGGTTAGGAGGATCCCTATCTTGAGCTCAGGAGAGGATCCTCTTCCTTAAACCACAACTAACTGAAATAGGATATTCTTAATTTTTTTTTTTTTTTTAATGAGGACATCTTTAGGTTACAGAGCATGCATCCAAATCATGCATTGCTAGTTTGTGAAATGCTAAGGGAACTCTTTCGAAGTGGAATTCTCTAGGATTCTATGTCACTTCATAACTGAATGTCAATTTTTGTGTCTATGTTATAAAAATTGTGCTAAAAACATGATGTAACGAAAAATCCATAAAAATCCCACTTTTGAGATAATTTCACTTCCTGGTTCAAGCCCTCGTGTTCGATGGTCCAACAATCTATCTTAAGAGTGTGACTAGCCATTGAGTCGATTGAGTTGTATGTCAAATATTGCTTCAAGGTGAAGAATATGGAACAGATCAATGTCCTCCACTCAATCAAGTGGCAATGGTGATATTGTTTTCAACGAGTCAATGAGTCTAGCTAAGTACGTAGGGAGAGGATCCCTACTCCCTAGTGAAAGAAAGTATATCAGAATTTGTCCCCGAAAGAGGTCCCCTCTTCTGCAAGTAATCCCATCTCCTTCAACAAATTTCACGCCCATGAGGTGGACGTGGATGTGCGACCATATCATGATCTATATCGTCCCACAAATTCAATGTCTCCGTAAAGAATTTGAAGAAATACACTACTTAAATCTTTAATCTTTTAAACGTGGAATTCGTTAATTAAATAGCAAGAAAATATTAGTTAAGGGTGTAACCGTTGTTAATTACAATTTCTATTTATATAAATTGTTGTATTAATTATAATCTAGTTGATTAAAGTAGTATGCTATTTTTTTTTTCTCAACAACTAAAGTCGATTCTCCTTATCCATAGTTTAGATAAATTTAATATATATAATTATATTATTAATTAAGAAAACATAATTATGACTGAAATTAAATTTTCCTCAATTAATCAAAATGCTAATCAAGGATGATAGTGACTACATAATTAGAATTTGGAAAACATATAGTAATATAAGAAGCTTGTTGCATGTACACATAGTATGAGAAATATTAAGGAGATTTTTTAAAATGAAACTCTTATGAACTCTGTTTTTCATGTTTTTTACATAATATTTTATAATATTGGTATAAGAATTAACGTTAAAGCTACACAATAACAGATAATTCAGAAGGAGTTTTACTTTCGGAAAATATCTTTATCGTTTCTATATACTGTATATGTTAGAGTGTAGCATGGGGACAAACGGACAAAGAGTATATTTTCTTGTATTCGGATCTTGCTTCTCTCATGATGACTTTGACTTGTGGTATTTTGTAATCAAAAGTTTCTCCGTCCGAGATAAGCAAGCGTGTGACAGTATGTGGATTGGCACTCAATAGTCAATTCCCTCCCAATATATTCTCCTCCTTTTTGCCCATAAGTCCTCCAAATACCTAGTTTTTTTATTGTGCAGATTTTGATTGCATTTCACGTGGGAATTTGGTGATTCAAATGGGGGTGCTGTTGTTTTAATTTGGGAGAGAGACTTGCATGAAATGTGTGCATATTAATTTTTTTTATTGTTTGAACTTATCACATATTGCTACACGTTTTAATTTGCAAAATGACGATGAATGATAGGTTTCGAACGATAAAATGACAGTGTACTCATTTAATATAAGTTTTTCTCTTCATTTGAGTCAGGTGTAACTTCTCAGTGGGCTTGTCCCACTGGCATTGAGTGAAATCAATCTACTAATGAACAATACTTGCAGATTTACAAAATTAGAGCTTAAGATATAAACTCTATCACTCAACAATATTATAACACTTGAATTAATAACATTTACGCGATGGTTTTCTACTTACACACCAAGAACTAGTTTTGTGTATATTTAATACAATACGCATAATTAAATAGAGGATCTAATAATATCATGGTAATTTACTAACGTTGGAAGATTTTGTTATAAGTAATTAGAAGATGAGCACACACTTTGTGTGTGAACAATTTCATTTTCATTTTTGTTTTTGATTAAAGAGTGTGATTAGTTTTTAACATTTTTAAAAAGAGTATGAGACAATGATGATGTGATCTTTTAATAAGGGCATATTTTTCTTAATATTACATAATTACCATTTTACCTCTTTATGTAAATATTGTGTATCAAAAGTGAGGGTAAAATAGGAAAAATGGGGATGATTGTCATTTTCTTAAAATA